ATTATCATATAAGAAGGCAAGGTTAAGAAGGAAGGCAGGAGGGGAAAGGGAACGGAAGAGAAAGAAGAGATAAAGAGAATTGAGGAAAAGGGGATGGATAAAGGGAAATGGAGAGGAGGCTCAGAGAGAAATGGGGATAGGAGAAGGGAAGGAAGAGGATTAAGGGAGGGAAGGTAGGGAAGGAGAAAGAGGAATAAGAGGGAGACGGGAGGAGGTAGAGGGAAAGGAAATGGGAGAGAGGGAAAGGGAGCAAATGGAAGAGGGTGAAAGGAGAGAGGAAAGGAGAAGTGAAGGGAGAGGGAAGGAGAAGGGAATGAAAGAGAAGGATGGGAGAGGTGGAGGATGGGAGAAAGGGGGGGGAGGGGGAGAAGGGACCCCGAATGAACCCAGCGACCCTTTATATACTCTCGTACGTTATAACAATTAGCAAGAGCCAAGGTCAGACATTTGATAAAGTGGGTCTGTTTCTTCCTGAACTTCCTAAGTCATGGGCAATTACATGCTGATTTTTCAAACGTGCGCGAACTGGTGTAAAAAAAAAATAATAATAATAAGTAATGGATACTCGTAAGGGGGTACTAAAATTGTAACGCTGATTATCTTTTATAGTTTGTTATTGTATATTTTTTTGATTAAGTAGGTCTTTTTCGTCAAAGTTCCACAGGTTCTGTTAGTCATATTATCGTTCAGCATGCATTTTCGTTTCCTTGTTACAATTTCTAAAAATCATAGCCCATGCGACTGTGGACTACTTTATTTTGATGTAAGATGAGCAGCTTATGCGTGGAATAATATTCCATGTGTATGAACTTAAAACAGTTAATTTTAGTGTAAAATGTGATTTTTATATTATAAACATTAAAACCTTTGCTTACTCTTGCAGCATCAAATTCACTACAGAACCTTTTCGTCGGTAAACTCACTATGTAATTATTATAATACAGAAACTTTTCAGGCGTTTTTTTTTTTTTTTTCTTTTTTTTTTCTTTGGCGTTGTGGCACACTTTGTGCTTTGTACCATGGCTCGGGGACATACATATGCTGCTTCCTATGCTGGGATCGGACCTTCTTGTCTTGCTCGGCCACAGCTTGCTAGGACTAGAAGGACGACGAGGCCATGTTAACATTCACCACTTCATTACACCAGCGTCATTAGGCCTACATTACACTCATTATTTTACACACGGTTTGTAATTACTCTCATGCATAGGTAACTTATCTGCAACTGACCAATACAAAAATAACTTTTAATAACAGCAACAAAGAGCCATCAAATCACCTAACAACACCTAATGATTGTCTGCAACTGTTTACATACAGATGTTATTGTGACGTCTTTTAATGGACAATTTATAGGGTTTCGAACGGTCAAATATGTTTAGTTCATCTTACCTAATTTGTTGGACGAGGAGTTTAGTTTATGAGATATTCTAGAAAATGTTATACAGCTAATGCAGTATTGCTACTACCAGGTCACGACCCCTGGACCTCAGCTCTAATTAATTATCAAAGCTGTCTATCAAAATGATACTTTCTGATCCCCTGAGATCTTCG